GGGGAAGGGGACGCCGACGATCCGGAAGCCGATACGGACGATCGGAGAGAGGCGCGATCGGTAGGAGCAGCGCTCGGATGCGGACGACAACTAGGGCAGCGCTCAGTCAAGGAGGATCGCGGGAGAGAAGGGCCGTGATCGAGCCGAGCGGGAGAGGCTTCTCTTTGATGGCTCTGATACCATGTGAATTTTGAATAACCTTTTTCTCACTGAATACATAGATAATTCACCTATAAATAGGCGTGTACAAGAGATAAAACGAGGAAAGAAATCTTCCTGCAATTAAGTAATTCCTATAATTATGGAATAAACATAAATACCAATAATTAAGGAATTACTCTTTTTATACTATGACTAAATATAGCAAGTACTAAATAGAATTAAAGTAAATAATAATGAGCGTAATTCCACAAGTTGAATTTGATAAGTTCAACATTGTTCATTTTGAAATACATTAAAGCTCTGAGGTGTCTAAATATATAGTATGATAGAAGGGGATTAATTGGACTAGAAAATATCATCTCTATCTTTGACAAAAATAATGAAGTATCCTTTGTAAAAATCCTTAAATGGTTATTGTTTTTACACACTTCAAGGGAACCTCAAGTAGTAGAATGAGAATTTTAGAGCTTTGCATGAACATCATCTGGCTATCTTTGTGATTTTACTTGTTAGACTTTTTTGCCTAGCCCTATTGCCCAATATTCCTTACAACTTTGAGATTAACATCTAACTTTTGACAACTATGCCTGCCATCAACTAATGTTAACCATTAATGCTGTCCATCCTTTGACGACCTACATCATCCATTTGTCTTTATCCTTCATTGACTAACACTGACAATCATTGTCATTTATCATTTATTGATTATCATCGTCTAATTGCTGATGGCCATTATTGCCAAATCAACGATGCTCGTTATCATTAATTCTTTGCCACTAGTTGGTTGTTATTGACGATCTATGAAACACCGACACTCCCAAATAGAAGTCGTACCTGTGTATTGCACGTGTCAGACACAAACACGACTTTGACACGGGCCGATACGTTGTCTGACACTTAATAAGCATGTCAACACTCTTGACTTTCCGGACACCTCTCTCGACACTGCTTGAAAATTGCTCGACACCAGACACATGAATTACAATCAAGCTACGAAGCAGAATCCAAAGCGTTAAAGAAATCAAAGCTGCGATGTTTTGATGGTGTTGCAGTCTTACCAAAGCATCACAACAAATTGTTGAAGCAAGCAAGGAGGAAGTCATTGTAGTCAAGCATCGAGTGTCACTCATCGACTCGCCGACCAGCCATGATCGAAGCGAGGTAGTCTTCACCGCAATCTAGAGCTTGGGATTCAACTAGGGCATCATCGAACGCATGATACAAAGCTTCCACGTGAACTCACATGCAATCCAAAGCTTCGATGCTGAGTTAGGGATGATCTAGCGAGGTGATGGGAGCTAGGATACAAAATCTTGCAATTTTTTTCATAAAAAAATTGCGGTTTTTTGATTGCAAGGTTATACAAATATTACGTTTTCTTTTCAATTTTGGGCATTTACATACGTTCCACTTAAATCCTTCACTTCACATAAAAAACACCACCATTTTGATGTTTAAACAGTGAAATACTCTTTTTAATGCGTAGATATGGTGGTCTGTATGTAATAATTGAAATTTAGGTGTTAGAGATGTTAATGCATAAGAATTGGGTGGTATGTATGTAAATTTCTTAATTTTATAATAATTGAATTGAATCCTTTTAGGGTTGTTAATTCTTTTACTAATTACTATATATATATATATATATATATGTGTGTTTGTGTGTGTGAAGTTTAAATGATTCTATTTTCTGCAATTGATTAATTGGATAATGACTACTACAAATGCCTCTAACAATCTCATTGAGAATGAAACATCCTTTACGGGCATGTCTCCAAATTAGAGAAATTGAGATCAATTGGAGCAGGAGACAACGTAGAATTTCAGTGTCTTTTTATTCAAGGAAAGTTCAATGAAACATATTCTACGGTTAGAACAAATTTGCTCTGACAATCTGGAGTATGTGTTCGAGCATGTCCTAAAGTGACTTCAACAGAGATTCAAGAAATGCAAAAGTTAGATACTGATGCAGAACAAAAAAAGAAGAATGTTGCATTTAAGAAGTCTCCAATTTCTTCTTCTGGCCCCAGATAAAGTGGCTTTAATTAGTTGTATAGCTCTTAGTCAAGTGGACATTTATTTAATCATAAGAAAAGAAAAATGCTGGGCAATAATGCTATAGAAAGTGCATTTAATTTGCAAGCAAGAGATCATTTACATGAAGAAATTGCTCAAATGTTTTATTCTACAGCTCTTCCATTTCATTTGACAAGAAATCCATATTATTTTAGTGCGTTCTCATATGCAATTAACAACACGATTCCTAGATATATTCCTCCTGGTTGTAATTGTTAAGAACAACCTTACTTCAAAAAGAGAGAGCACGTGTTGAGAGACTACTTGAGCCCATAAAGGAGACTTAGAGTCAGAAATGAGTTACCATAGTTTGTGATGGTTGGATAGATGCGCAAAGAAGACCTCTCATTACTTTCATGGGCATCATGAAATTTGGATCAATATTTATATGAGCTATTAACTGTGAATGGACATATAAAGATAAATTCTACATTGCCAATTAAATTAAAGAAATAATTGCGGGCATATGTTCAAATAAAGTGGTTCATGTAATCACTAAGAATGCACCTTTGTGCAGAGTTGTAGAGCATTGGTTGAGGCTCAATATTCTCATATTTTTCGGACTCCTTGTGTTGCTCATACGTTGAACTAAGCATTGAAGAATATATGTGCTCCAAAAACTATAGAAGAAAATGAAACAATTCATGAGCAATGCAGTTGGATAACTGACATTATAAGAGATACCAATTTTATAAAAGCTTTTATTATGAATCATTTAATGAGATCAATATTAAATGAGTTTGTAAAGTTGAAAATGTTGGCCATTGCAGAGACTGGTTTTGCATCAAGCTTAAGCATGCTTAGGAGATTCAAAGCAATAAAACAAGGGCTACAAAAAATGTTGATCGATTGTCATATCAGCTTGTTTAGGAAGCATGATGTTGAAGCCTTGGAAACTTATTAAGGCATAATTTGAAGATGAGATTAAAAATGATTCAGAATCATCATGCCACATTATTGAGTCAAGGGGAGCATTTCTTAAGTTTTGACTCGTTGAGTTTGTTTGGATAAGCTAAAAAGTTTAAATATGTAATTTTAGGATAATTGCATGTTATATTTTATTATTTGGATAAAAATGGGTTTAAAAATTTGTTATAGAATTTGTTATTTTATGTCACTCCAAGTCAAAATTTAAACTCAACCAAGATTTAAATCATCTCCTTATTCTCGTATACCTATATTAAATACAATAGGTAGTGGGCTTCCCCTTGTGCTCACGGTCTAGTGTGAGTGGAATTTGCTTAGAGAGCTAGATTGGAAGTATAGAGAAGCAATAGTAGAGGGAGGATGACTAGAAACTTTTTCTGCGACTTAGAGTTGGATATATAAAAAATTAATAGTAAAAGGAGAGGAAAGGAGAGGAGAGAGGAATAGAGAGAGAGAGAGAGAGGAAAAGAAGTTTTTCTTTATTTTATTGTGGATTAATATCTTGGTTTGGTGCAAGTTGGTGGTGCATGAAAGATTATGATTATTCAGTAGGCACGTGAAAAGTTACATATTGAGGAACTTTCCAATGAAGAATTTATGATTTTAGTTAAATATTTGTTTGTATTTTTCAGAAGTTATTCTCTTTTGTTTGGCTTTAGAGAATTGAGGCTTCTCTTTTGTGATGGGTTTAGGTGTATTTGGGTTTGGAGAGGAGTGTTTTTGTTGTGCCATTTTTATTTTGTACATCTATGTCGTTTTTCAATAATGGATACATTTGTTTTAGCTAAATCAAGCAAATCTTGGTGTCTTTTATAGAGTTTTATCTCTTGTTACTACTTTGTGTTTTCGTGGTATTCACTTTTGGCACACGTATGCCTAAAAGTTATGCATTTTCTCTTACAGAGTTTTATAGCTTTATAAATAGTAGTTGAGGAGATATTTCTTAGTGTTTTACTAATGTCAAAGCTGATCATTTGATTTCACCTACTCAAATATCATTTGTGCTTATCTTCCAAATTTGAAGCTAAAATATATTGTCAAAAACAGCACTTTAATAATTCCTTATTAAACTTAATTTCACTTTATGCATTTGATGTAAATTAACTTTAATGTCTTTATATATATCAAAAACTTCATACAGTGATTAAAAAATGCAATAATTATAAGTTCATTTACTAAAACTTCGCAAGTCAGTTTAATGTAGTAAAAAGGCAGTACCTTATAATTTGAGTTTAACATGGTTTTGGGTTCATTTGGCAATAGTTTGTTATTTATTGATTCTTTGCAAATTTGTCCAGCACCTTAACCCTTTAAGTTTTTTTTGGATGAACAATAGCCTTCTGAAGGACATAGCTTCTTCAGTTTGCTTCTTTCCTTTGATGCTTACACTTCTTGGTATGCTAGTGCAGAGTTCAGTATGTGGGTGGATTTTTCCTGCGCTTTTTAGGGGATAAACTTTTAATAACTTCTGCCGTGTTTTGTCTGGGCTACTTGTTATTTCAACTATATTTTTTGGGAGAAAGTCTCAGTTATTATGTGTGACAGGTTAGAGAGATGCCAAATGTATTAATTCTTCCTAGGAGTGCTGACTATAGTGAAGAAGTTTGGATGGAAATCAGGGAGAAAGCAATCACCATGTTGCAAGCCTTCTTTCTTGATAACTTGATTCCAAATAATGATATATCTGATGAAGGTGAAGAAAATAGTGCGATAGCACTTGAAGGTGACCAAGCCGAGAACTCGGTAAGAGATAATTCATCTCAGCCTTTTGATTTGGAACAGAAGAGAGATTCAAGTCATTTCTGTGCTGGATCTGACCAGAAACTACAGATCAACGAGTCAAAAGAGTCTCAAGTTTCAGGCCCGTCTCAAAATACTGCTAGAAGGTCTCATAGAAGGCATAGTAGGTCTAGCAAGAAGGCCAAGAAGAGGCATGCTCGCCAGGGTTGCCCGCAAAAATCTAATGATTTTTCTGGAGTAGAAGGCAGCTATAGCTCTCAGCAAGAAGATACTGCTATCAGTGGTATGGAGCAGAGTTCTCGATTTGCTTCTCCAGATGATTCTAAGAGCAAGCAAATTTGCCTCTTTGAATCAAATATGGAATCATCTTCTCAGAAACCTGAAACAGTTGGTGGACTTAAAGGAAAATGTGTTGAGCTTTTGAAAGATGGTTTTGTTATTGCTTTGCATACTAGAGATCGTACTGGGTTTCATGTGTCTAGACAAAGAGTACCTGGTGGCGGATGGTTCCTGGATACATTTTCAAATGTAACCAAAAGAGACCCTGCTGCACAATTTCTTATTTCTTTTAAAAGCAAGGTGTGCTTTTGAATTTTCCCTTGTGCTGTTTATTTTGAACTTCTGTTCTATTATACGTAGTAAAACGTCAAATTTTTAGATGATCTATAATGGTTCTTTTTCTTTTTTGTTCAGGACATGCTAGGGCTGCGTTCTTTTACTGCTGGTGGAAAACTGTTACAGGTCAGATGTTTTTCTTAAGAAAGTCTATTCATCATTTTTTCTTAACTATATTATCAGAAGATGTGACAAATTTGGAGCTTCTAGTTGTAGGCATTTGTTGGCAATAACAGCAAAAGAGAATTCATTATACTTGGCATCACAAAGTTTAATTTGTATTATTTCATTAGTTTGAATAATAGTATTAAAACTAGGTTCATGAAATAGTTGAAATGCCTTTTCCAACAGCTATTATAGGTTAAATACCAATTCGTTCCTGATTATTCGTATGTAGCCAATCTAATCTCAAAGTATAAAATGTCTCCAATGTATTCTGACTACCGTACAAAATTGATTCAAATGGCTCATCATTTAGAAATTATGATACAAATTTGATCCTAAATTAGTTCCTTGATTATATAAAATTGAACCAAATTTACGGTATATTTAAGATGGTTTTATCAGCATTTTTGCTTTTTAGAATGAAGTCACAACTTTATTTGGTGACTGCATTCTTGCTATTTTCTGAATTTTTTTTTGCAATGAGAAGTTGCCTTATATAACCAAATTTCTTAAAATCTAGTAGCCTTAAAAAGGCGGCTATCTGACTTTTTCAAAAGGAAAATATCTATAATATCCATGTTTGCTTTTAAAAAAGCTGCTTCCATTGGAAGAATTGATCAATTATCTTTACCGTAGGCGGCAATAACCCCAAATAGGCTCCTAAGTTTTTTCAAGGATCATTTATATCAATTTTGTACGGTCAAGAGATTGAATTTGATAAATGTGAAACTTTAGTACTAAATCAGCCACATGCAAAAGATAGGGGTATTTTGGAATTTAATTCCTTTTGATTATGTATCTTGTAGGTCATGGGAGTGGTTAAATGGTCTTATTAATGAATCTCTAATATTAATTTCCTCTTTAAGCTTTAAAGGAAGATAGTATACTCGAATTGCATCTTATTAGGCATATTTTCTTACGATGTTAGCCTAGCTTTTACGGATGTTCATGGATAATTGTTGAGTTCATCGCTTATGCTAAACGAGCTTGACGACGTGTTCTTGTATCTTTCTTAAGAAAAATTCATAGTTTTTATATTCATGTTCAAAGCAACTTGAACATAAGTATGACCTTATTATTTTGATTTATTATTGGAAAGTGTCAATCCGCATTATGAAGGAATCCTCATAATTTATTTTACTAATTGTATTTACTTTATTAGATATTTTAGTTTTCTATTTTTCCTATATTTGGAGGGATTTCTATTTTAGTTATTTTAATTATTATATATATTTAGGAAGGCATAATGCACTTGGTGAATGAGAAATAAAATATTTTTTATAATTCTACATAGTATTAGAGACATGTCAAATTGTCATGTATTCGTCATTTGCCCTCGACATTAGCATTTAGGAATTGTTCGTCTTCTGCTTTATCTGGCTTCCTCTTCTTCACTGTCACCTTGCGATGGGATTAGGGCATCGTTCGTTGATTGTTCGCTTCATTTGCTTCAGTCTTCGCTTGCCTTCGTCCGCTTAGTCTATGTCGATCAAAGTTCATTTGCTTTGTTCATTGTATGCTTCGTCAAGTTCGTTTGCTTAGGTTGACTATATCAGTTGTTTCCTTTGGTGCTTTGCTGTTTTCCTAATTGGCTTTGTTTGACTGCTTCATCTTCTTCCTACTTGGTGCGAGAAATTCATCTTCACAACAGCTTCTCCTAGCTACCTCTTTTGGTTCATCGACTTTATTTGTTTATTGAGTCGCTGCTTTGCAACGTTCGACGTCGTTGGTTTTAACGTTCAACAACCTAATGGGGTTTGCTTCATCTTCAGAACACTCGCCTCGTCCATTCGAATGAAGCCCTCAAATGTCTTCCATCTGCTTCGTCCACAGAACCATTCAAATAGATCGGGCCGCTCCATTTTATTCTTTTTCAAAACATATCTGCTTGCATTTGAACGGACCGCATAATCATTCAAACTGATTGAATGCTTTGCCCAGATTGTCTGATTCAATTTTTTCCATTCGTTTCCTGCGGTTTCTTGTGAACCATCCACTTTTTCTTCTTGGATTCAAGGGGGGCGATTGAAATAGAGGATTCTTACTTATTACCATCTCACATGTCGAAGGACCGACCACCTCTCGTCGAGGGCCAAACGTGTCAAAATCAAGAGCTGTGCTCTTCTCTCTACTTCCTGTTTGCTCGTCCAGCCGAGAATTCAAACTAAGGATTCTGCTTCCTCTAGTTCTTGCTTGTTTATTTAGTCGAGTAGTCAAACTAAGGGAACACTGGCTTTCCTTTGTGCAACAAGTTTTCTTGAGGCTTAACATGGTTAAAAAATTTTGTATACATGAAAAAGGTGTTTTCACATTTATTTATCACTAAAAAAATCTAATATTATCAATTTGAAAATTGTCAACTTGCAAAACATACCAGATATGTATATTCTATTTTGCAATATAAGCCTTCACATTCTTTTTCTGTAATTCACAGTAATATCTAGGGACCCTCACAACTAAACAATATAAATGGGGCATGATGGTTTGTATCATTCATAAAAGATCACACATGAAAAACATGGACATTCCTTATGAAAAAATTGAAACAACTATCATATTTCATCACTTTCATTTCATGATTCTCGCTCAATAAAAAAGTAAAATTCAAATTGTTAAAATTGATAATTCTAAGGAATACCTTAATTCAATCCTCAGTCCATATCTATCAAAATATTGCTATTATTCATATAACTTCTTATGTGAATACTCCTCAATAAAATGACGTCACAGAAAGAAAAATATAGATGCTTAATTGAGGTTGCTTGTGCCATTATGATGTTTAATCATGTGCTTAAATATTTTTGGGGGAAGTCATTCTCTCTTCAATGGGATACCTAGTCGAGTCCAAAATTTTCAAATTCCTCTTAATGTTCTCAAGGACTCCTACTCACACGTCCACTTATTTTCTTCTGACTTATCATTAAATTTTTTTGGTTGATTAGCCTTTGTACACTTTCATCAACAAAACCGCACCAAACTTGATCTCAAGTCTCTCAGATACATTTTTCTTGGTTACTCCCAATAAAAAAAACTACAAATGACACTCTCTAAGTACTCGGAAAGTATACAACTTTATGAATATCACTTTTTTTAAGAATTAATTTTTTTTTTCGGAAATCTAAAATTCAGCGGGACTACTCAAGGGAATATCAAATTTGGGATTTTTTCCAAATACTTCGGCCAATATTTTTTTAATTGAACCAAATCCTATCCCTCAATCGACTTCACTCGTCTCTACTCCACCTTAACCAACTCCACTCGAATCAAACTTAAAACATAAATAGTCCCAATTGTCTCTACCCCACCTCAACATTACACCAATGATCAGGAAATTTGTATCTACACTAGCAGGTCCGTTGGGCATATAGAGGGCACTATACAGACTCAGGACTATCAAGAGTTCAAACCAAATCCTTTTGATAAACATATTAGTATGGATTCCTCAATTCATGACTTTCTTATATTGATGGTTGATGACTCTAGTCAATCAATTGCACATAATAAAGGTATCCGACAGTGCACCAGTAATTCAATTGAAAGATATGTAGTTTATGGGAAGTTGCTACCATCTTATAGGGTTTGTGTGATAAACCTTGATGTTGTGCATATTCCCAACTCTATTCAAGTGGCTCTAAAGGTTCCAACATGAAAGCAGTCAATTGGGGAGGAAATTCGAGCTCTAAAAAAGATTAACACATGAGCACTTATAGAGTTACCTGATAGAAAAACTACTGTAGCCTGCAAATAGAAATTCACGGTCATGTACAAAGGAGATGGAAGTGTAGAGAGATTCAAAGTCAAACTGGTTGCCAAGGGCTTTACGCTATCATATGTGATTAATTATCAAGAAACATTTCCACCTGTTGCCAAACTTAATGCAGTTCAAGTTTTAGTCTCTTGTTGTAAATCACGATAGCCTTTATACTAACTCGATGTCAAAAAAGTCTTTTCGAATGATAACCCTGATGAAGAAGTCTACATGATTATATCTCAGGGCTTTGAAAATAAGTTGGTAAACATGTTGGTTTGCAAGTTGAAGAAGTTCTTATACGGCTTGAAGCAATCTTCTCATACTTTGTTTGATAGGTTTGCTAAAACATTTATTACAAACGAATATCATCAGTGTCAAGCTAATCATACACTATTTGTTAAATCCAATTCTAGAGTAAAAAATGCTTTTCTAATAATTTACGTAGATGATATTATCCTGACAGATGCCGATTCAGATAAAATTATCAGTCTAAAAAGGATGATTTGCAACAGAATAAGATCAATGACCTCAGGAAGATATTTTCTTAGGAATAAAGGTGACTCATTTTATATAGGGAATTGTTATATCTCTGATGAAGTACAACTTAGATATGATAAGTGAAACTAACATGCTTAAATGTAAACCTATAGACACTCCTTTGGATTACAACAAAAGGGTGAACAGATGCGTAGGATGCAATCCAATTGACAAAGAAAGATATCAAAATCTTGTGGGCGAACTTCTTTACCTATCACACGCATGACCGTATATTGCATACTCAGTCAATGTAGTTTGTCAGCACATGAATAACCCAAATAAGGATCATTTGAAAGCAGTAAATATAATTTTGAGTGAATATGATTTGTTCTTCAAAGGATTTGAAAAACATGAGACGGTGATATACACAAATTCTAGCTGGGTAGGAGAGATTACTGTTAGGAAATCAATCACCCGATATTGTTCATATGTTTGGGGTAATCTCTTCATTTTGGGAAGCAAATCAAACTGTTATTTCTTGGAGTAGTGCAGAATTTGAATATCATGCTCTTGAACTAGGCATATATGAGAGAATATGGATTCAAAGGCTATTAAGGTAACTAAAGATTGAGATGAAAGACAAAATTAAGATGTTCAATGATATCTAAACAACTATTGGTATAGTGAAAAATCTTGTTTAGCTCAAAAACAAAATAAAACAGGTTGAAATTGA